GTTGTTGTTGTTGTTGTTGTTGTTGTTGTTGTTGTTGTTGTTGTTGTTGTTGTTGTTGTTGTTGTTGTTGTTGTTGTTGTTGTTGTTGTTGTTACTGTTGGTGGTGGTGGTAATCGCTGTCCTTCCCCCTTGTCGCCGTTGCCGGCACTCATACCCAATCTTGGTGAAGGTGCCGTGGGTTACATACAGATTTTCACCTTGGCATGATGAAGGATCATTGTTGTTGTTGTCATAATCGTCGTGTTCGCCGTTCCTACTGTCATCACGGTCCTAACCGCTCTTTTCAGCTGAAGGTCCAACCACGAACAAATCTTCAATCCACAAATACGTGTTTCCGTTTTTCTGTTCGTACATACGTAGGTGCGGCTCTGGGACATCCGTCGCTCTGGAGCCTCGGCGTGCCTCATCAGCCTGGACCAGCACCAGGAGGAAGACGAAGTCGAACAAGACGAGGAAGAGGACGACCACACCGTTCGTTGCGGTTCGGACGTCGGGGGGTCGGCGGATGGGAGTGACGACGGAGGGGGCTCGGGCATGCGCGGGAGCGGAAAGCGGAGAAAGGGTTACTTGAAGCACATCAAGCTCGCGTGAGTTGTTCGGCTTGTTGTTGTTGTTGTTGTTGTTGTTGTCTTTGTTGTTGTCTTTGTTGTTCTCTTTTGCACAGCGTTGTCACCTGCGGTGAACGCCTGTCTGTGACCATGTCCCTAAGGTACGCAATGCCCGTGCACGTGTGTCTGGTTCAAAAACGCGGGCCGTTATACTCCACCCGCATGCTGACGGGGGACAGCACTGTTGGATTGTCCGGCAGAGCAAGAACCAAGACATTCCTATGATTGATTCTGGGGGGAGTTTGATGCGCAAGCAAGTCTTGTTCATCCAGACTGCGGGGACGATGTAAAAATTTTGCAGAGTGCGGAAGTATCGTCCATCCCACAAGACAATGTTGCTGTTGCTGTTGCTGTCCTTGTTGTTGTTGGTGGTGGTGTTTGTGTTGTCTTCGCATCAAAAACCGTTCCGATACCCGGTGCCTCGATTTTTTTCCGTACTGATCTGTACACGAACAACATTAATTTTTCCTTTTTTGTGTTTTCTGTTTGGGCTGCACCACTTGCTGCTCGGATGCATGCAGGCCACACGCGAGCAGGGCGTCCAAGTTTGCCCGCGCCCACGCCGGTCAGGTTAACTCGCTCTGCTTTGCCCCCGACGGCCTTCATCTTCTCACGGCTGGGACAGACAATAGGTAGGCACCGACGACGAAAGGACCACCATTTTTGAGTGTTCGACGTTCACGAAGCATATTTGTAAGAACGTGGGAGAAAGAATAAAATAACCGGTCGCCCCGGTGGTCTAGTTAGTATCCCCGAATCCTTCTAGAGGTCAGGTCAGGGGTTCGAACCCCGGCGAAAGCGAGCTTTTCTTGCAAAGTGAGTTTTTCGCTCGCTTCCGCTCCTGGCCTAGTGGATAGCGCTAGTTCGTGTGTACACAGAAGGACGAGAGTGCTGAACTCTTCTCGCATTACAAATCGAAGGCAAACTACCGCAGGAGGGGAGATCGGAGAAGGGCTCTTCTGTGTGACCACGGGTTGGAGTAAACGGCACCAGTGCTGTGAGCGCTGATTTGAAGTGAAGACAAAAAAAAAAAAATGTTGCAACCCCCCCGGAGTGATATATGTCTTCGTGGGTTGAGGGTGGAAGGGAGACGCGCACGCGAATGGTGGGCGAAGCTAGCCCGGTTGCTGATTTGATGCACGCCCTTGTTCAGTACGTCCGTACTCCCCCCCCCCCCCCCCCCCCCCCCCCCCCCCCCCCCCCCCCCCCCCCCCNNNGGCGAAAACTCGGCGTATCGCTCCGTCCCGGCATCGTATTGCAGGGATGCGAGGTCAATGGTATAATGACTTCGGCATGCGTTTTCATGAGTACCATAAGAGGCGGAGGGAGAGATGGCACCCCCGCCCTAGGCCGATTTTCACAGCGCGAATGCTTCACGACCAAGATTGTGCCATCACCAAAAGCGTTGTGGAAGCATCTCGTCGATGGCTTTCCGTATCGGGGTCTTTCAGCACCTACTTGGTTGTGGAGCAATCGAGCTTGCAAAGTCGGTCTAGGGGGGGTGCCATTTTTCCAGCTCTTACGGAATACCACGGTACGGTATACGGTACGGTACAGACATTCTTGGTTGTGGAGCAATCGACCTTTGAAACTCGGTGTAGTGGGGGTGCCATCTCTCCACCTCTTACGGAATACCACGGTAAGGAATACGGTACGATGCAGACAATCTTGCTTATGGAGCAATCGAGCTTTGAAAATCGGTCTAGTGGGGGGTGCCATTTCTCCGCCTCTTACGTTAGTCGTCAGCGGGCATTCTCTGGGGTATACGATATACCGCCCCGCCCCCTGTCTCTCCCGGTGTTTGCGATCGGGGTTGGGTTTTCGTCACTTGGCAACGTTGTAAAACAAGCCAATTCAGTTCGTGAACTCGGCAACCAGGTTACCGTTTTTTTTTTTTTTCCTCTGTTTTTTTTTTTGGCGGTAACCATGAATGGTGGTCGAGTAGATCATGTTGTGCGGGGTCGAGAACC